TTTTCATAATATTTTATCTCCTTCAGATAGGCTGCGTATTACTAGACTTCTACTATTCCGTGTCAGCGTTAGCTCTCTCCTATTGTGACGTTGTTTTCATTTGGAATCTTAAGACGTTTCAGGCTGATAAAACAGATGATAAAAATCAGGTTTTATCAGCTAGAAATTTCTTAGAATTGAAAAAGAAAATACAACCGTCAAAATAGAGGGCTGACGCGAAACATTAGAAATCTGGAAGTACCTCTGCCTTTCTGAAAGACACGAGAAACTATGAAAATTAAGGGGGCCATAAAGGCGTCCTACAATTATTGTAGGAATGTCTGACGATAGGGCCCTTAGTAGTCTATTGTAAAAAATTTCAATGCCGAGCATCCGCATTGCATACCAAAAGAAGCAACATTTTGATAGTGTAATTTAATACCACACTGAATATGATCACAAAAATTATTCTATACCATCGACGTATCACCCACTGTCTGTAACGATTCCAACTCTAAGATTTGTACGCCTATAGAGCTGAATGCGAGGAGGGTTAATCCGACAATAACAGCCTTGCACCCCCGCATGACTCACGCATCGAAACATGGAAGGAACTTAGGGGATGCGGTGTCTGAATAAAACGAAGTCCTCAAGTCAATTCCAAAACTTGACGCATTCAAAGTTTTTGTAACAACTGAATGTCGATTTAGGCGTAGATACATATTTATATACATACCTATGATAGGCGTCATCAACAACAAAGTTTTGGAACTGTACCAAACTTGGTAGATCTATTTACCTCAGCTGCTTTCGAATGAAGCACGAGCATTCAAAGTACGTATGACGAAGAATTATTCTTAAAAGTGGTTTCTGTACAGAATGAATTAATATAGGATAAATTTCATTTTTATGTGTGTAAACGATCATTTAAAGGGAGATTTTGAAAGCGCTAGAATATTACACTCCAAACTATATTTCTGGTCTTCCACGTCTCTCGTTGCCCCAGGTATACTTGTAACCTCAGGATTAGCCTTTTATGTTCAAAAAAAAATTAATTGTTTCAAACACCTCTCGTTTCCCCGGAAAGAAAAAATTTTGAAGGAGGCAAAAAAAAGGATTCATTTATTTTAACGGTGACTTTGCAGACAATTTTCATATTGAACTTGCAGTCTGTTTGGCTGTTTTTTTTACAGCGAAGCAGTAGCGCAGGCAGAAGCCTAACGCCAGGGCAATGCGGCTGCTATGAGAAGCTGAAATAAACATTATTAATCCGATTAATGTACTACCTAAGCTTAGTAGATCTGGAAAAGGTCGTCTCCTGTAGATCGTTCTACAAACTCGATATCCTAGGGATAAAGGAGCGGTTGTATCGGCCAGTTCTTGATATACGAAGTCCAACACGTTATGCTGGGAAGACGAAGTTAGGCGGGCCTATCTGGCAGGCACATTGCGCGGCGGCATCATGGAGGAGAGCCCTGAGAGGCAAAGCCGATTGACGAAGCGGTAGAAGAGAGCTAGATCGCTATTTATCAGGGAATGTGATATTTATTGACCGTGTAGTGCAGCCATACGGCCAGCAAAAGACTTATGTACAAGACTAGGTAGAAATCCTTTGACAGTGACGAAACGATCAATTAATTATGACGGTACAGACCACAGTAAGTACTGACCGTGTGTCATTGGCCTTAGATTTTCTCATACTGAAACCTTTTTGGTGCGGTCCGCGCCGCTCGTCGCTCAAATGTGCTCTGCACCCCTACGTATGAGCAGTTCGTTATGTGCTTGGGCCCCAAACTGATTCAATGGCCCGTTTTTATGGCCGGATCACCCGCCGTCCGTCGCGTCGTTACGGTTTCGGCAGCCAACCAATCAATTTACCCGAGAGACTACGTACACAAACTATACACATCAGATAGAGGTTGGGGGCCCCTTTCGACGCTCACTGTTCGCGGCAAGAAGGGAGCTTATTTTTTAGGAAATACTACAGTTTTTAAGGTTACTAGCCGCAAAAATTGAGCAGCTCTCAACTTTATACAAATTCTGATAGTCAATTTACCCCGTCGGGTGTTTCGACTAAAATTATTACTTCCCGTAAAATCCAATCCGAGAATGAGCGAAAACTTCAAGAAACAAAGTTTGAGCGGTTTTTATTCTTCGTTTTACTTCCTACGCCACTGGCGAGGAAGTATTGTAATCGTGAAAATGAGATATGTTTTTTTTTTGATGTTATATGACATGTACATCACGAAAGAAAAAGTCACTCATTTCCGTCGGTCTGTATGTCTATCGGTCTGTCTGACGGTCTAAACTAAACATGATGCTTTTGTCCGTCCGACCAACAAGCAGCCTACCATGATCAGCTGATTCGCGCTTTTTGGCTACACATGAGCATGGGTTAGGCTTGGTCACTCGTTTCTGGGACAACGAACGGAAGCATCGCAACTATCCTCTATCTAGAAGGTACGGTCTATTGAAATAAGACAGCTCGAAACGCCATCTATCACCAGAATCGACGAAAGCATCATGTTTAGTTTATTCAATGGCAAGTAGACCACATCCACTATAGAGCCAGAATCGACAGGCGACTGGGTTATTAAGCGCGAACTAAGAATCTTTACAGTTCCGACAAATAGCTCTATGCACTCTGCGCAGTGGTCGGTGGAACATATTCCAGCGGTTTTATTTCCACCGCCTCTGAATCAATTTTCAAAATCTACGACTACCTAAACGATGGAAGTATTGACCTCGCGATAGTATTCGAGCGTCGGTTGACAAGATGTCTATTGCTTAATGACATCTGCATCACACAAGCGCGTATTTCTCATTTATATGTCGGTTTGTCAGTCGTTGTCGTATATCAATGCGTCCTAAGTACTGAGACAATCTACTTGACAAAACATTCAGAGAACCATCATAGACCGAATAATATAAATTAAAGGTTAGGCAAAATGGGTCATAACATTCAGAAAAATATATGTGTAGATACAAAAGCAGTTAAGTCATTATTCACAAAAATATCGCTGAACGGTAAAGCAATTCGAACTCCTAATATAGAAATATTCCTAAACTATGTAAATATTTCTTCTATAGACCAGTTGGAGTTTCATAATACCAAGATATTTAAAATTATGAGCACATTATACATCGGACCTTTATCGTTTAATATTCTCGTTGTTACCTAACTCAAAAGCTTCTTATTGATAGAATGTCTTTGACTAATACTCAAGTCGTTACCCCCTACCTCCTACAGCTACTTCCAACCCCTACAAAACTTTTCCGAAAATCATCATCAGGAGCCTCTGAAATGTCAAAAAAATGAAGTTCAAGTGATATTTATTTTTTCCCCTAGCATTGCCTAGACCGATTTTCAATAACTGCCAAGCTTTTCCATCCTTTCTCATGGTAGTAAGTAGCCTTGTGTGAAAATTTCAACAATATCAGAGCGTTACTCCTCAAGTCATGAGCGGTTATAAAATTAGGTGACAGACCGACATGTTTTTCGGTGATGTACATGTCATATAACATACAAAAAACATAATATCTCAATTTCGAAATTTCTCGCAATTACATTACTTCCTCGCCTGTTTTGGAATATGAAGTAAAACTGGTTGCTTCTGAGTCATACTCTGTCCATTCCGTCAGCACGTTCGGTTTGCACATTACCGATCTATAATATTAAAAAATACGTTTATTCCGCGTCATTTCTCCTAAAACTTGTCAGACTGTCGCGCTGTCGCCGTCTCAACAGCTCTTTGTTCTAACCGCATATACATGCCTCCCCCTTCCTCTCACATTTCCCCTTCTACTGCCGATACTCCAAAACTTTCAACACGGAAAAATCCTCGAGCAAGTAACGAAGTTTGTCGTCGTACGATCGCCAAACAAAAGAATTAGGAACATTACGTCCCGACGTTTGCCAGGGTTGTATTTTACTTAGAAGATTGGTTACAGTCTGCGAAATTTCAAGGCCATGTCAAGACCAATTCTGTTTTTTTTTTCTTCAAATACGATACCAATTTGTAACCCAAATAATGAGATAAACATTTTATTTCCAGTCCCTCAGGTAGTGTTTTCAGTTTCAGTCGCACATAAGAATGTCAAATATCAGCCTCGATATATTGAATTCTACCTGATATTTACGAGTATACACAAACGTATACGAGTATATAATAAAATCCTACAAGTTTTATACTCACAAGTCAAGGAAAATAAATGTAGCCGTATAAATACCTGTAATAAATAAGCAGCAGGATATCTATTAACGAAACGTAAGGCTAACAGGAAGCTCAACGAAGTTGGAAGACTTATATTAATAAAATCCGGCCCTGTTTTCGATCCTCCAGTCTCTAGCATCGTAACTTCCGCTGGTCCAGAATTTTATCTCAAAAAATTTCATCCGGTTTAAGATCTTAAGTGCGGCCTTTGAAAGCATTGCTAACAACGGAAGCACCACTGTATGGTATAATAAAATTGTGTAACAAAGGAATGCTTCAGTTGCATCACCAGAAATCTCTACAACAAACTCTCGTAAGTTTGTTTTCTTAAGCCTGTCGCGTATAAAATTTGGAACTAGCTGTCGCGAGACAAGTCTTGGTGTTATAACTACTGAAAACGGAGAACGTGATGCAATGACAATGTTTTGAATTGAAACACGGCTGGGCATACTCAAAATTAGATAATCAATTTCTTCTTGTATCTCAAGCTACTTATAGCTCGTGACGATTCAAGAAGAAAACATAACTTTACAACCCCAGCCTTTTTGAAGAGGAGAAAATACTATGGATTCAAGGAACAGCATTAATTCAATTTGAATATTTTTCAAATAATGCAGCTGCTAATTAAAATGCCAAAAATTGATTACCCACAAGACTTTTTTATTACAATGTGGGACTTTATGTTTATAGAACAATGAGTCTGTTCAGCAAAAGTAAAGCTGTACAGCATTTTTATACTGAATACATGCCATTAGGACTTTAGTTGGTTATATGACCAAATTAGGAGATTATTATTTTCTTTTTCAGATCTTGTACTTTTCGAAGTTAGGGGACATGATATTTGGCAGTTAGCTACAATTACAAGGCAAGAGAAGAACGCATGCAAAACTTCATTTCTCAACAACGCTGTAATAAGTAAGTACTAACAGATCTAGGTTTCCAAACAGATTCAGACCTATTATTGCTTACAAATTTTGTTTTTTGTATCTGATGTAACATACAAGACTTGGTGTACAACTATATTGAAACATTTTTTATGTGACAGCTTTATATATAGGTAAACAAGTAAAAAAATATTTACTAATAAAAAAACTAAAACATAGAATGTTCTACCAGACAATTTATTCTGCATTTTAGTTGTCATATTTTATTTTTCCCCAGTCAAATTATATTGATTTTAAGTTATGTTTGGATTGTTTAATCTTATTTTGTATACAGTTGACTATATCACATCCATGTATTGAAATTTTATTTCAAGGGGCTGTTCTTTCTGGCACCAATGCTACCAAAAAAGATGTGTGAAGATGCCATTAAAACTTGGTTGGCACCAAAAAGATATAAAACAAAATATTCATATATCTTTTTTATCCTCAGTAGTAGTAGTAGAAGGTGTGTTAACTAAGAACAATATTCAACTTTAATTTTCTACTCACATTCTTTTTTTTTTTGTTAGACAGTGTTAAAAAGTGAAAGGAACTATAAGAAAGTCATTAGTGAGCATAAATCATTAGACATGTTTGAAAGGAAGTTAATAAAATAAATGCCTCTCAGGTTGTGGCTTCATCTCAACAACATTTAGAGAAAGATTTTGGCCATACTGATAATATTGAACAAGATCTATGCATCACCTGTATGCGAGGTAGATGTAGATTCTTCACAACTATGCGGCTCTAAGGACCCAAGAATACATCAATGTTTAATGTGATGCTCACAAAACGATTGTTTCACTCACTAAGATCATATTTAATTAGAAAGCTAGTATGCAATGAAATGTATTAAAACATCTGCAAAAGTTGTATCTATTTTCTTATTTATATATGTATATAAGCTAATATATAATATTATCAGTATTCATTTATTTTTAAGTCTCACATAAAATGGATGAGCAGATATGATGGTTTGTATTTAAAACAATCAGTGAAACGTTGTTAACAAGACATATTTAGAACTAAAATGCTTACAACTTTGAACAAAAAATTAGAATACCTTTTTAAGCAGTTGTTATGATTATTCAAGTAGTTATTTCAAATAAAATTACTATAGTATTAATCCTTCATTTTGTCCGCCCTTACAATTCAAACCACATATATGTTTAAATACTGTATATTGCAAACATTTCTTCCACCACAGTGGCCTTCTTTAGTACAATAACATTTGAAGGGTTGAGTGGATGAAGGTGGTAAGTAACATTTGGGTTAAAATGAGTTCAGTATGTTTGGTGAAGGCTGTAAGTGATATTCTGTCTGGAGAACTGGTTGTTAACAATAACCGTTATTGTCCACAGTAGGACCAACCTGTTTTCCGGACCGAGTACTGTTTCTAGGCTTCGCCAAATTTATTGAACTCATTTTTGATCCAAATGTTATTCACCACCTTCATCCAGTTAATCATGACGTGAAATCGTCGTCAGACAGTGACGTCGATTCTATCTCACACTTCGCCCACAAATTAACGGACTTTCCACGTCGAATAGGACTGTGAATACTACGTAAAGAGGTACGTTCGTTTCACGTGAAATATACGTGTCCTTGCTGGCTGGGATGTCCATCGATCGGAATTGACTGTCAATGCATGACCGTCTTTATCTTCAAAGAAATACGGCCCAATAATACCGCTAGAGGATAAGGCGCACCAAACAGTCACCTTTGGACTATATAGCTGTTGTTGATGTTTCTCTTTTGGGTTCGTTGGTGCCCAATATCTGCAATTTTGCATGTTCACATAACCGTATAAGTGAAAATGGGCCTCGTCACTGAAAACAACGTTCTCGAGTCTGCGCTGCTTAGGAAAAAGACTCAACATCCGTTCAGCACAAGATTTTCGTAATACGTAATAACTTTCCTTTAAAGTAAAGCATGGACTGATTGGATTTTATAAGGATGAACACCCTTTTTTTTCTTCTTTATGCCATGCAGTGCTGACCTAGGGATTCCCAAAGCAGCGGAATCCTTTACTCGACGCACATTTTCTTCGATTGATACAGTAGTTGTGGGGCCAGGAATGGGTTGACTAAGCGTAGAGCCTGTTTCACGGAACCTCTTGATCCACTTTTTCAATAGGTTCTTACTTGGGGCATCTCTAGACGAATGTTGTATCGTGTACAACATTTCCGAAGGCCAGCTGCATATGAATGACCACTCTTAAAGTAAGGCTCGATAGCAAAATCACGTTGCGCTCCGGTCCAACATTCCATTGTGACTATTTAACCCGTCCGCCGAAGGCGTCAATCACTTCCTCGCGTATACGGTTACCGCGTAATTTAAATTTGAAATGTGAACTTTCCCACTGTATTTGACTTTATTTCTGTTCTGACGCTTTGCGACAAATGTCAATTTCTTAAGCTCTTCTTCTCTAGTTCGCACGGATATTATGATGTTCGCACGGATATTATGATGTTCCTACGACTATCTACCAAATAATCGCTTTTCCTTTATTGAGTATCAACAAATTGAAAAAATGTACACAAGTCTAACCAATCAAGTACCATCTGGGCAAGTATCTACCACGAACCCACATACTGCCACAAATAAGCCGGATAAAAGATAAATAGTAAAAGTATTGTTTGTTTACTCTGACCCCTTTGCGAATTTCAAGAGCACGTTTGCCCTAACGGCCCGAACACGTATTTGCTTAGTCATTGTGTTGTGGTAGTGACAGGAAGCAAAATATTAGCGAAAGCCTTGAATGAATCATACAAGGGATGAAAGTACAGCTTTATTTATTTACTGAAAGAGTCAAGTTTTATTGTAATGTTTGTCTATATTATATTCATGTAGTTTTTCATCGTAAAGGCAAAGCCTACATGCCAAGACCAGAACACGACTGTTATAGGGGAGTTGAGGAGAGCTGTGTTTATAATGGCCTGATGTACAACTTGTTGAATGTTTTGACACATTCCTTGCTAATTTAACGTCTCTCTCTTCAAAAAAAATTGCATAGTTTTCTTTTTCGAGAAATAAACATCTTTAAGGATTAACATACTCAATAAACTCCGAAGCTTCAACATTTCATCTGCTGTTTTTTTTTTTTTAGTTTTTTTTATTCCGAAAGCAGCCGCGCAGACAAAACCCTAAATATAAATAACAGGCTAAGTTATTAAGGATATTGCTATTAAATGGCATTCCAGCTTGAAAGAAAAGTAAGGACTAGAGCAGAAAACTCCTTGGTAGGTACCAAGCGAAAAAATCAACGCATCTCAATATAGGCTGGGTTTTAGACACGTTATACAGAGCTCCCACTTACTTTTTGAACAAATCTATTTAGCAAGCAGATCTTCGGGTTAACGAAGTTAATATATTAATTCTATATTTTAGCAACCAAAAGCTGCAGTTGAAAATTTCAAAATGGCGGCTGGGCGCCATCTTAGAACATTCTTACATGGAGGTGGGGGTCATGAAATACATCATATTGAAGCAATTTACGAGTACTTTATAACCCTAGAATTTAAAATCAATATTTTTCAAAATAGCGTACTGGAATGCTGACAAAGTTGGGCTTTTTTGTCCATCGTATAGTCCGTATGTCATTTTCGCTTGAAATATGTGATAAAATATGGAACAGTCCATTTAGAAAATTTTCTAAATCTGTCATTTTTTCAAAGGGACTGTCTCATACTTTATTGCACAATCAGATACACCCATTAAAAAAGATGAAGACAAGTAACAAACTATAGCGTTTTACGGTTAGTTGTTGAGTTATGAGCAACTCAATGTAGATACGAAAACGCTCAGCTTTGACAGCCCGTCAGTCCATCATTTTGAATGATAATAAATTTATAATACTCTAGGGGTCTAGGGTTATAAGGTACTGATAAGGAGGTTTAAATCAAAGTATCACATGATCCCCCATTCAAATTAAAAAATCTACCAAGATGACGCGCAGCCATCATATTTAAATTTTCAACTTTTATGTTAAAATATGTTAAAATTCAAATTTCAGCTTGCCAAAACACGAGGAGGGGTAAACTTTCTTAAAAGTACGGTAAGATCAAATCTCTCAGTAGTGACATTATTTTAATCATCCTCAAGTATCTCTAGTTTACGTCACACATCTGTGGAGTGCACTCATCCAGTCCCACGATGAGGCTCATGCCGTTTCACTTGATATCACGAGGCTGCCCTCTTAAGCAGGGCTCCCCTCATATGATCTCAAAAACGAGCTTTGCCGATGGGTGACTGACTTCCTCCCCGGTCGCGACAATATCAACGCAGGTGTTCCCCAGTGATCGGTCTTGGTCCTAGACTTGTTTCTATTTCATATCAACGACCTTCTCTCCTGCACGATCAATCCGATCCAGAGCTTTGTCGGTGATAGCACTCTAATTGCAGTCATTCAGTGGACAAGCCGATCTCTGCTGATGAGCCAGACAGAAGAAGACTAGTAGCAACTTTCTCGATGACAAGAGACCTGGACGTTATCACCCCATGGAGACGCAACAATCTTTTACAGTTTAATGCTTCCAAAATACAGTACTCGTACTGTATCTTGACTAACAAGAACCGGTCTAGGGCTCATCCGGTTTCGATGGATCGCGAAGTTCTGCTCCGACTACATTATTCATACTCGATGCTGTTCAGAGGAGAGCGGTTCAACTCATCAATGACACTTCTCTAACGAATATTCTCGGGACCCTTTCGCACCGATGGACGGTTGGCGATCTTGCTCTCCTCTACCGCTATGTCAACAAGCTTTGTTCTGATATGAATAAGTCTGCATGACTTTCTCTGGAATCCTGTTTATTTAACATTCCTCGTTTTAACATGAGTTCAAGATCAGAAGGGTTTTTAAAATAACGCTAAAAAAATGTTCGAATCTATAATTCATCTTATTGACCGGTCTACTGAAGCACGTATCCTGCTGCTAAACATCTTTGGAGAGAGGAAAATTGGTATCGACGGACGCTGACGGTAAGAACT